ATAAGTAATTCATTACACTTAATGCTAGATTCTGAAGCTTTTAATGTCCAGATTTCTTTTAGTCTTGTTTACCTGTTTATGTAAAGATTTCTGATGTCATTTTATATAAAATTGATACCATTAGATAACTATTCATTATGGCAATGTATAGAAAATAGTGTTCCCCAAGTCATTTACTATAGAATTATTACTTATTTTCATTTTCCAGCCATATGTGAACTCTCTTTAAGCCTCCTGAAACACTTTATTCATTTATTTCCAATAATAAAGAGTCTCATCATTTCCATGTTAGGACTGAATAAAAAAGACTGCAGAGATCACATACCTTTCAGAGATCCTAGGAAATATCTTCAACAGAGGAACAAGGCAGAGGTATTTATTTACTTTGATAACAGAACCACATTAAGTCCAGGATGATAGACAATAGGGCAGTAGTATTTATGTATATAGTAAAATTAAGATTATAGAAAGAGTTGGGGTGGGAGAAAGAGAAGGTGACAAGACTAGCACAACAGGATTAATACTTGCTGCAATTATATTGAGGGATTAAATCAGGTGAGTTGTTTGGAATTTTAAGTCTGTTGCCTTTTCTTATGGAGAGCAGGGAGCTAGGGAGTAGAACAGATGAGTGAGAAGGCATTTTATATAATTTACAAAAATGCCTATTTATTTTTAGTATTGAGAAAAGAGATATTCCTTAAATACAGTTTTAACTAAAATTAATTATTCCAAATTATCTCTCTGCTCACATGAGTAATACTCTTCTTCATCTGAAGTGTCCTATAGTGGAGGCAATAGGCTGTCAAATGAGTTGGAGAACCAGCTGTGGCCAAAAAGGTTTTGAATGGGCAAAATAAAAACCCTGGAACATGGCTTTCATGAAAGACTAAGAATTAGCTCTAATAAAAAAATTACACTGATAAATCATAAATAAAAAAAAGGTTATACTGAATTTTAGTATACAGTTTAATCTACTGCCAGGAAGTACAACAAAATAATAATAGTGGCTGGGCAGTGAGAAAATGGGCAATTTTGAGATGTTCTTTTTTATTTTCTATAGTTTCCAAAAGCAAATATTTCAATCAGAAATTAAAACAGAAAAAATCTTTTAAAATTTACTTTACCCAAATGGCAAAGATTTCTTTCAATATATCCTTCCAGAATTGATTGCAACATGTGGTTCTCAAAATAATTACTGGCTTGTTCATAATTTTTCCTTTTTCTAAATAATCCCAAAACAAGTTCTGAAGGGATAAGCCTTTCATATTGAACATTTTCAAGAAAGCTGAACCTGGAATTCTGAGACATTATTTCCTTTGTTAACATCTAAGAAGAAACTGTGTAAGAAGATGGTCTAGTATTTTTTTTTTTTGCTTGTCCAATTTTCCCAACACCATTTATTGAATAGACTATCTTTACACCATTGTATGTTCTTGTCTTCTTTGTCAAATATTAATTGACTATATAGGCATGGGTCTATTTCTAGGCTCTCTATTCTGTTCCATTGATCTATATGTCTGTTTTTATACCAGTACCATGCTGTTTCGATTACTATGGCCTTATAGTATAGTTTGATTATCAGGTACTGTGATACTTCCAACTTTGTTCTTCTTTCTCAATATTGCTGAGGCTATCTGGGATTTTTGTGGTTCCCTAAAAATTTGTTTTTTTCAAGACAGAATGGATGGACCTGGAGGGTATTAAGCTTAGTGAAATAAGTCAGTTAGAGAAAGACAAATACCATATGCTTTCACTTATATGTGAAATCTAAAGAACAAAATAAATGAACAAACAAAATTTGATGCAGAGAGCAGGCTGTTGGTTGCCAAAGGGGAAGAGTGTTGGGAGACTGGGAGGAAGAGGTAAAGGTAGATGAAGAAGTATAAATGGGTAGGCACAAAACAGTCACAGGGATGTAAGGTAAAGCGTAAGGAATATGGTCAATAACATTGTGATAACTATGTATGGTGCCAGTTTGGACTGAAGATATCGAGGGAAACACTATGTAAAGTAAATGATTGTCTAACCACTAAGCTGTAAACCTGAAAGCAATACAAAATAATATTGAAGTAAACTGTAATTTAAAAAAAAAATTGTGAGACAATGAGCACCTACCCACATCTCTCCAGGAGGGTGTGAATGCATCAAAATGATTGACTTAATCAGTATGAAGGGAGAAATAACTCTTCAAAAATATGAAGAATATGATATCTAACTTATACTGATAAATCATAAATAAAAAAAGGTTTCATTTTCTTTTACCTTTCAAATTTACTCTGTCCTGAATGCAGTTTTAGGTTTATAAGGTCACAGCTCTTCCTATTATTTAAATCATCATCACTGACTCTTGCCTTCTTTACATTCTAATCTATCTTATTTTTAAAAAGTTGTTCCTATTTCTTATTTTCTTAGTCATTTTTTTACTGTCTTGATTCTTTCAACCCACATACCTTAAAGCAAGTGATCCTCCAACTGGTTTGGAGTTTTATGCCACATGCTTCTGAAGGATACTGGCTAATGCTTAGTGATCCAGAGCAAGTTAGCAACCTCTTTACACCTAGAGGGTTAGCAATGCTCACAGGTGCCACTGGTTATTACTGGAAGGCCTAAGGCAAAGGCAGAGGAGAAGAAAAAAAGGGAGAATAACGGGAGTGGGGAGAAAAGAATGGCAGTAAAGGAAGACAGGGTGGAGAGAAGAGGGGACACGAAGTAGAGTGGTAAAGAACCACAACAATAGCTTCCAGGAAATTCTTTACCAAGACAATGACTGGGAGGTGGCATTATAACACAGAAAAGCCTAAGACCATGTCTTTTTGTTTACTGATGACTTTTGTACTTTAAGTATGATATATATATATATAAACATAGATTTACCAAACATTCCCAATTTGAGATTTAACTATATCCACAATGTTAAGTTATGTGTTAAGTCTCTGTTAAATGGTCTATATGTTAGAGAACTCTCAATACTTCACAGGAAAGAAATAATATGAATAAGTTGCATGATATATAATCTGTTGAAACTTTTATACTGTGAGATGTCATTTTAGATGTTTTTTCTCTGTGTAAAATAACTAAAATACCATCACTTCAAAACACAAAGAAAAATAAGATACTGAATGGTAACTTTACATAAAAATTTCTTTGATAGATTATACAGCACAAAGGCTCTTTTTATGGCTCATGTGGGCTAACTACTCTTTCTGGCAACTAGAAAAGCTAAGAGCAATAGTTTCTTTTTATTAAGCTGCTACATCTCATGCAAAAATCATAGAACAACATTCTTTTTGAGAATAATTCTGCCTCAAATAATTTATTTTCTTACTTTCTCCTACTTTATATTACAAAGCACGTAAAAAATAGACTTTCTTGTCCCTTTGGTATTTAATTTGTTGTAGCTGTTTGTTCTATTCTGGAAATAAGAATTATTTGTGATTTTATAGTAATACTGTATGGCTATTAATTATAAGTTCAAAACAAAATTTATATCTTAGATTGGGAATAAGAAACAAAAAGAGCCAATGAGGCTATCAGAAGATTAAAACAATTTTATTTCTGGACAATATGCATTACATAATAAACTCTGTAGAAGGAATTAATTGGGAAAAATTTGGTAGGGATTTATTAGTTATGTTTTCAAAAATACTCTAATTCAGTGAGATCAAGCAGAATGAGGTGCATCCAAGATAGTATTCCTGAGAAAGTATAAACTAGTAGGAATTAATCCCCTCACCATTTTATTTACACAGAATATGAGATTAACAATTTAGGTAAATGTTATACTTTTTTCAGAGATTGTATAAGTAAATGTGTTTATCATAATAACAGTAGTGATAATAATAGATACTATTATTAAAAACAATTATTGAATGCTCTTTTTGGTGCCAGGAACTTTACTAAGGATTTTTATAGTTTCATTTAATCCTTAAAACAACCTGTTAGGGTAAGAACTGTTATAATTATCACCATTTTACAGATGAGAAACTGAGGCTCAAAAAGTTTAGGTAATTTGCTAAAAGTTATATCAATGGAACTGGTACTAGAACCCAGATCATTCTTTGCTCAAAGCCCATACCTTTAACCACCTACTATACGGCCTCCAACATAAAAAGATACTTCTAAGAGATGGTGATAGAACATGGAGATTAACTAATATATTTCTTTACAAAAAATAGAAAATTATTTTAGTAGTTAGAGTGAAAAGAAAATAATGACAAAAATCAGTAAGAAACTCCAGAAATGATCATTAAAAAAAAGAATTGGCCTTCTTAACAGTTTTGATAAGTTGGGAAATGTTTTTATACATTTCTTCAATGCCATAAGCCTTGTGTTAATAACCAATAATAGTTCCTAAGCAATTCAGTTGCATTTTCATTTAGGGTTCTTAGATTGGACTTTAGACAGGTAAATACTATTTTATTTTTGCTTTTAAGTTTTATGTAATCTCAGGTAACTCCAAAGGTGTGAGCTGCCTGGTACCGTCTGGAGCTTTAGATATTTGAAATAGGGCCTCTTCCCAGGAATTAGAGGTTTCCCTCATGCTTGCTTTTTATGAAGCCTTTATTGATGTTTGAGTTTAGAGCAAGAGAAAAGAGCACCCCACTTTATCCCTATGTTGTGAATCTGCTCTTCTTTCTTGTACCATATAGATGTTTTCAACTAGAAAACATGCAAAAAACATCCAGACAAAGTATGACTGTCTATTATCTGGTATGTGTAAGGCTAAAAGAATAAACTATAGTATAGTGTTTTTTTATATCAATCTCTACATATAATTGTAAATAACAATTTTCAAGTAACTAGTAATTTCACTAAAAAGCTTTAAACAAGATTGTGTCAGAAAATAGATGTAGATTACTTTTGTTATCTGTGAATAAAATTATTTTGACAACCAAGGGGGAAACAGATTTAACAGTTGTTGGGTGCCCAGGCTGAGCCAAAAATCTGAAAAAACACACAGTGTGAGTTATGATGATACTCAAGAAAGCCAAAATATTTACCTCGAACAGCATAGCCATCTTTTACTGATGCTGGGAAGGGGGGTAGGTTATCTTTTGCATATACATCTTGAGCAAGGACTCGACCCATTCCATCTGAAAGAAGAGAAAAGAAGGAAAATATGGTTGTTGAGATTAATTTTAAACAGGCAGTCATAGACAAGATGAGCATATGTGCTTGTCTGACAAGGTTTGTATATGGGCTCAGTCAGACCTGATTTCTAACCCACAGAATAGGAGACAGAAGGAAGAGATGAATCCTAGCATCTGAAATGAAATATTAGATTCAGTCCATTAATAATGCTTGCAGAGATTATTTGAATATGAGTAGCTATACAAAATCATCAAAGATGTGCTTAAGTTGACATGTCATTAATTCTTTGACAACCCAAAAATGACTTTAAAAAGCTAATTATTAAACGTTTTCATATCCACTGACCCAGTAATTTTACCTCTAGAAATCTATGTTAAGAAAATGAATAAATATTTTTTTCTTTCTATGTCCAAGACTTTTTCCTCTTTTTTGCTCAATCCCTCCACCTCCTTCCAGCCCCCCTCTTATAATAGGCTGTCAGCCTGCTCGTCTGTCTCTATTTTGCTAGTTAGTTCATTTTGTTTATTAAATTCCATATATGAGTAAAATCATATGGTACCTGTTGTTCTCTGACTGGCTTATTTCACAAATCTCTATGCACATGCTTATTTCAGAGTTGCTTACATTAGTGAGAAATGGGAAGAAATCAAAAGACCAATAACATAGAAATTTAAATATATGAAGATGTAGCCTTATGATAAAACATTATGTAGGCTAAACTAATATCTATGAAGAAGATTCACTGATACAGGAAAACTCATATAGTTAAAAACATGCAGAATTGCACATGTAGACATATGCATAAGTACCAATAGAAAAAGATAGGAAAGGTATACATGAAAAATAAAGCATCTGTTATTTCAGTGTGCTAGAATTATATATGATTTTTATTCCTTTTGCTATATACTTTTCTGAAAGTGACCAAGTTTTCTACAATAAACATGAAATTTTTATAAGTTTTTTTTTCTTTATGAAGATAAAAGTAAAGACAAGAGCTTCCTTACCATTCCATTGAATTTTAGCCTTGATTTTGCCTTTATTAACCTAAAAAAAGTAGTGACTATAAGCAAAGGGCTAAGTAGAAAAAGCCAGTCACAAAAGATCACACATGATACCTTTATATAAAATGTCCAGAATCGATTAATTTATAGAGATTGAAAGTAGACCATTGGTTACTTAAGGCTAAGTGGGGATATGAGGGGATAGGAGGATGACAGATAAAGGGGAGAGGGATTGTTTGTGAGGTGATGAAAATGTTTCAAAGTTGATTATGGTGATTATTGTACATATCTGTGAATATACTAAAACATTGTATTGTATACTTTAAGTGGGTGAATTATGGTATATGAATTGTATCTTCATAAAACTGTTATTTTTTTAAAGGGCAAGGATAAGAGATTTAAAAAAATATTCCTATCATTTCAACAAATAACTATATTTAGGCAAGTCAAGAAAAATTACATTTGTAGCACAGAAAAAACCATCTGGTCTTTACAGATCTTCCTGAAATATCATGGAAAAAAATAAAACACCTCATTTTGAAAAAAAGAACTGCTTCATACTTAGGCTATTAAAATTTATTAATATATCATATAATTTGAAGATTTTAATTTTGGACTTATACTAAATATAGGGTTGCTGTCTTTAAGGTAAATTAGATACCTACTGGGTTAATTCTTCTTTTAGAGTTGGTATTAAGTTAACCTATCAGCAGAGTTTTAATCTCTTCAAAGAGAAAAACAAAAAGTTTTGGTCTAAAAGCCTAAGGCAAGAGACAGGATTTATAGAGAACTATGCAATTGATTGGAAAAAGGCAAAAACTCCCAGTTGCAGCAGATGCAAGAGTTTTGAAGGAATAAATGTCAGATAGACAAGCACCTATCCATATCTCCCAGTAGGGTTCAGGACTAAACAATGGGTAGCTCTTCCAAGAAGTCAATATTAGAATTGTCTGGTCAATGTCTGACCAGATGATCTGTTTGGGAACTTAAAGAGTATGTAGTAGTGCTGAAAATTACTTCATCGCATGGGACAGTCTCTCTTGCATACATATAGGTACCGTATTTGCCGGCGTATAAGACGATTCTTTGGCCCTGAAAAATGTGCCTCCAAGTGGGGGGTCGTCTTATATGGCAGGTACACTTCAGATAGACTGCCCATAGTGCTTGCCCCGTGCCATAGTGGCCTCCCGATGCCCGCCCACTTCATTCCACATACCGTTCAGGCATTAGCAGCGCTGCTGGGTGTATGCTCGGCTGTTATGCGATTTT